TTGGATTTTCAGAAAGCCTTTGACAAGGTCCCTCACCAAAGGCTCTTGTGTAAATTACATGGCCATGGGATAAGAGGGAAGGTCCTTTTTTGGATTGAGAACTGGTTAAAAGACAGGAAACAAAGGGTAGGAATAAATGGTAAATTTTCAGATTGGAGAGGGGTAACTAGTGGTGTACCCCAAGGGTCAGTCCTGGGACCAATCCTTTTCAACTTATTCATAAATGATCTGGAGAAAGGGGTAAGCAGTGAGTTAGTAAAGTTTGCGGATGATACCAAACTGTTTAGGATAGTCAAGACAGACGCAGACTGTGAGGGACTCCAAGAAGATCTCACCAAACTCAGTGATTGGGCAGCAAAATGGCAAATGAAATTTAATGTGGATAAGTGTAAAGTAATGCACATTGAGAAAAATAATCCCAGCTATACGTACAGTATGATGGGGGCTAATTTGGCTATGACAAATCAGGAAAGGGATCGTGGAGTTATCGTGGACAGTTCTCTGAAAACTTCCATGCAGTGTGCAGCGGCGGTCAAAAAGGCAAATAGGTTGCTAGGAATTATTAGGAAAGGGATAGAAAATAAGACACAGAATATCTTACTGCCCCTGTATAAAACTATGGTACGCCCACATCTTGAATACTGTGCATAGATGTGGTCTCCTCACCTCAGAAAAGATATTTTGGCCTTGGAAAGGGTTCAGAAAAGGGCAACTAAAATGATTAGGGGTTTGGAACGGGTCCCATATGAGGAGAGGCTAAAGAGACTGGGACTTTTCAGTTTAGAAAAGAGGAGACTGAGGGGGGATATGATAGAGGTCTATAAAATCATGAGTGGTGTGGAGAGGGCTGATAAAGAAAAGTTATTTATTAGTTCCCATAATAGAAGAACTAGAGGACACCAAATGAAATTAATGGGGAGCAGGTTTAAAACTAATAAAAGAAAGTTCTTCTTCACACAGCGTGTAGTCAACCTGTGGAACTCCTTGCCAGAGGAGGCTGTAAAGGCTAGGACTATAATAGAGTTTAAAGAGAAGCTAGATAAATTCATGGAGGTTAGGTCCATAACAGGAAAATGGTGTCCTTGGCCTCTGTTTTTCAGAGGCTGGAGAGAGATGGCAGGAGACAAATCGCTTAATCATTGTCTTCGGTCCACCCTCTCTGGGGCACCTGGTGCTGGCCACTGTCGGTAGACAGGATACTGGGCTAGAATGACCTTTGGTCTGACCCAGTATGGCCGTTCTTATGTTCTTATGTTCTATATTGATTCCATAACCTATTCTTTTTAATCAATCCTGTGTATTCCTAATCTTTTTAGTATTCTGTACTATCAAGTGAACTATTGGGCCTGCTAACCCCTCAGGTCAGTAACACAAGGATTTGGGGTACACGTGTGGTGCTAACTACCACTGGTGGCCAAAATAATCCCAACTTGTGCATGTGATTCATATGCACCAAGACTGGAATCCACATCGACAACACCTCTCAAAGAATCACACTTAGTGTAAGGTTAAGTAGCTAATTTTTTGATGTTCAACATGAATTTTCTTAGCAGTATACAGGACACCTTGGAAACACAGGAGGTAGACACAACAGCTCCAGACACCACAGCCCAGACAACTACTGAATTATTGAGCACTTATTCAGATGATGAATATACAAGAAAAATTCAAAAACGTCTAGAGGAAGACAGTTTTGCCCGGGAGCAAAGAGAAAAAAGACGACGGAAGATGTTAATGGAACAGCTAATAGCCCACGAAGCACAAGAGGTGAGGTATTTGTGCTGATGTGCTGTATCACATGCAGAATTACCAATCTGCAAATATCTAAATGGAAAAGTAAAATAACAAATTGATGTTTGCACCCGAACAGCGGTCTTTAGCCATCTGATTTTTCCAGAAAGAACTGTACTTTTTATCATTCAGAAAGCTGGAGATATCATCCTTATGTCACATTTCTCTTACACAATAATAGTGGTAATGATGATTTACTGCACTCCTAAGAGGCAAATGTTTTGCTACTGTATGTAATGATATTGGGAACATCAAATGGAAAGTCACTGGTGTGCTGGAACTTTACATGTCTGAGCTCAACCCTCAGGTGACATTACTGTTTTTAGAGTGTTTGAACAAACTCTGTTCAGATGTTTTTTATTAGGTAGGAGAAAAATTGTATCTACAAACAAACAAATATACACTAAAGATATGGCCCAAAGAAACATTTTCCCCAAAATAACAAACGGTTGAACTTAAAACCTATGGAAGCATTTAATTTCAGAATGAGGAACTACACAAAAATGAGGAAATTAGTTAAACAGTGCCAAAAGTGAAATCACTGCAGGATGCATGGAAACTTTTAAAAGATGCTATAATAGATGCTAAATTTAAATGTGTGCCCCAAATTAAAAAACCTAGGAAGAAGACCAAACAATTGTTACCATGACTAAACAACAAAGTAAAAGAAGCGCTTAAAGACAAAAGGTATCCTTTAAAGTGGATGATCAGGATGCTAAGATAGCACTCAAGGAAGGTAAAGCTACTGAGGAGAAGCTAAATTAATTTTCTGCTTCTGTTTTCATGCCTTAGGATGTGAGGCAGAGTCCCAGACTTAAACCATTCTCTTTAGGTGAAAAATCTGGGAAACTATCCCAGATTGCAAAAGCAGCAAGGAGTCCTGTGGCACCTTATATACTAACAGATGTACTGGAGCATAAGCTTTCATAGGCAAAAACCCACTTCATCAGATGCATGTAGTGGAAATTTCTAGAGGCAGGTATAAATATGCAGGCTAGAGATAACGAGATTAATTCAGTCAGGGAGGGTGAGGCCCACTGATACTTTATCCCAGATTGAGGTGTCATTAGAGGAGGTTTTGGAACAGATTGATAAATTCAGCAGCAATAAATCTCCAGGATGAGATGGTATTCATACAAGAGTTCTGAAGGAACTCAAATATGAAATTATGGAACTGCTAACTGTAATATGTAAACTATCATCTGTATCTGCTTCTATATGAGATGACTAGATGATAGCTAATGTAATGCCAATTTTTAAAAAAGTTTTCAGAGGTGAGCCCAGCAAATGGCAGATGAAATTCAATATTGATGAATGCAAAGTAATGCATATGAGAAAACATTCCCACTATACATATAAAATGATGGGGTCTAAATTAGCTGTTACCACTCAGGATAGATCTTGGAGGGAAACATTGTGGATCATTCTCTTAAAACATCCCCTCCAGTGTGCAGCAGAAGTCAAAAAAGCAAACAGAATGTTAGCAATCATTAGGTGAAGGAAAGCTAATAAGATAGAAAATATCATATTGCATCTGTATCAATCCATGGTATGCTCACTCACATTTTGGTCACTGAGTGCAGATGGAGATAGCATGGCCATCTCCAAAAATATATATGGGAATTGGAGAAGGTACAGAAAAGGACAACGAAAGTTATTAGAGGTATGGAATAGCTGCAGATGAGGAGAGATTAATAAGACTGGGACTTGTCTCTTTTCCAAGTTGAAAAGTTAGGTGGTCTTGACTTATGTATCTGACTTTTGGATTTATTAATAATTTCTGAAATTGTTACTGTTAATGCGAGAGACAAGCAGACATTAATTTCACCATAAATTCTTGTGTTAAGGTCAATGGGTATTTTATTTAATCACTGTGCACATTCTTAATAGCCTAAAATTAAGCAGTCATCACACCCAATAATCTAGCTAGCATTCATAAGCATGTGATCAGTATACTTACAGATAGGGAAAAATGATCTTATCCTGGAGTGCTTCAGCATGATCACAAAGGCTCTGACAGAACACTAATTTTTTATATTTTATACCAAACAAATGATGTCATAGCTGATTACCACACAACCTAACAACTAATCTGAGACAACTCACTGTAACTTTTAATTTTAATGTAGATAAAGTTTACAACCTTCTTTCTTCCCAAGAAATTTTTCCTTAACTTTTTCCCATCTTTCTGCTGACCAACAGCTTTTTCATTGAACTTGATTTACGCAGGCTTTACTTTTAGAATAACACTGGTATGTGAGATTAAAAGACACAAAATGGACTTTTCTAAAATAGATTTTTTTGTCTTATTTAAAGCACCTGAAGTTGCCCCTATCAGTCAGAAGGCATCTTTTTCAAAAACTTTCCCTTATCTCATTAATTATTTTTTGAGCCATACATCCTCCCTATTTCATTCCTTCTGGCATAACAAATCATTACTTTCAAGGTCTTTCATTTGTTAGTTGCAGCCTTTCTTTACAATATACATTTATAACCAAACTTAAATTAACTTCAATTTTAGTTATAGATTTATATTTATTATACACTGCCCATATGCCCATTTTTTTATTCTTGTTGAATGGAACTAGCCACAGAGTGTGAAGTATGTGCATAAGTATTTGAAGAAGTAGGGCCTTTGCTGTGAAGACCTGGGTTCAGGGTTCTGTGCTGCTTCTTTCACAGTGATGACAATGTAAATAAATAAAACAGCATGAAGATGTTCCATTAATATTTAAATTAAAGTTACAAATAGAAATGTAGTAATGCATGAAATGTGTGGAAATACACACATGTGTAGTATGATACATAAACATAGAATTAATGCATTTGGCCACTGGATGCCACTGTTGTTCCAAACAGATGTAATTTTAAAAAGAAAAAGCTTTTTTCATGCATTTCTCAAATGAACACCATTACAGAGCCATCTTCTGTTTTAATAACTGGTTTTATCTTTTTTACAGTAACTTGGCGATCCTGTATTTTACTATGGATTTTGAGAAATGCATATAAAACTCAAGTTGTGCTTTTGTCCTGTATCTTATTCTAGGTTTCTTTCATATTTAGGCTTTGATGGGTATTAGTTCTTCCTAAACTGTGCTACATTTTTCCATTGTTGTGTTGATTTGTTGGGGTTGGTCCTGCTTTGGGCATGGGGTTGGACTCGCTCACCCAAGGTGTTTTCAAATCCTATGGTTCTGTTAATTTGGTGGCTAAGAAAGGGGGAAGCTACAAGTGCTGGCAAGAAGCAGATCAAGTAAATGCATGCTGTACAAGTTTCCACACAGTGGGCTTGATCCTGCACTCAGTTAAATCAGTGGCAGAACCCTATCTGACTTCCATCCTGCAGAACCAGGCCCTGTAATGCTGCCAGTACGCTTCCATTGCGATTGGCAAAATCACTGCAATTTTAGTTCTGGATCTACTTTGAATAGAAACATTGATGCAATTAACAATTTTCTGATTAAGTGGAATGGAGCTAAGACAACACCACAGCCTAATTTTTTATTTTAAATTAAATTGTGATTATTCCCAGGTCTGCTCTCTTGTGCTCCCTCTCTCTGTATTTCTGTGTGTTCTGAGGGTGACAACATGGCCCATAGAATGTCTCTGAAATAATTCCTATATGAACTTCAACAAATCTCTGAAAAATATCTAATCCTGGTTGAATTTAAAAATACCTTTGATGGAAAATCTGCCATAACCCTTGTTATATTATTCCAATGATTAATTACCTTCACCAATAAAATTATGCCTTCTTGATTGTTAATCCATTCTGTTTGAAACCCTTCCTCCATCCAAACCCCACTTCCTATTTCAGGAACTCTCTCATGAAAGCTTGTTAAGATCACAGATTCAGTCACTTGCAGAAATTTCAGCAGTAGAGAAGGTCCTAAACGAATTAATGTGTTGTGGTGTCTACTCAAGATATTTTTTTGGTATCAAGAAAATCAGAAAGATTAATTTGATACTAGATCTTACAAAGTGCAATAGTTTATTAGAAGATATGGTTTCTGTGTATTGACTCTAGTGTCCAATATACTCTCCTTAACTCTTTAAATTAGTTTGTAGCTCTTGATCCAACAGATTTATGCTTCCTTATTTGTACCAGAATAAATCATCAGAAGTACAGGCAGTCCCCGGGTTACGTACAAGATAGGGACTGTAGGTTTGTTCTTAAGTTAAATCTGTCTGTAAGTCGGAACTGGCATCCAGATTCAGCCGCTGCTGAAACTGATCAGTTTCAACAGCGGCTGAATCTGAGTTTGTAGCTCTTGATCCAACAGATTTATGCTTCCTTATTTGTACCAGAATAAATCATCAGAAGTACAGGCAGTCCCCGGGTTACGTACAAGATAGGGACTGTAGGTTTGTTCTTAAGTTAAATCTGTCTGTAAGTCGGAACTGGCATCCAGATTCAGCCGCTGCTGAAACTGATCAGTTTCAACAGCGGCTGAATCTGGACACCAGTTCCGACTTACATACAGATTCAACTTAAGAACCCCAGGCGTCCCCAAGTCAGCTGCTGCTGAAACTGATCAGCAGCTGATTCCAGGAAGCCCGGGGCAGAGC